CAATACAGGTTGGGGGATGAAGAGATTAAGAGCAGCCCTGTGGAGAAGGACTTGGGGGTACTGGTGGATGAAAAGCTGGACATGAGCCAGCAATGTGCGCTTGCAGCCCAAAAAGCCAACCGTATCCTGGGCTGCATCCAAAGAAGCGCGGCCAGCAGGTCGAGGGAGGTGATTCTGCCCCTCTACTCTGCTCTGCTCTGGTGAGACCTCACCTGGAGTACTGCGTCCAGCTCTGGGGCCCTCAGCACAAGAAGGACATGGACCTGTTGGAGTGGGTCCAGAAGAGGGCCACAAAAATGATCCGAGGGCTGGAACACCTCTCCTGTGAGGCCAGGCTGAGAGAGTTGGGGTTGTTCAGCCTGGAGAAGAGAAGGCTGCGAAGAGACCTTATTGCAGCCTTTCAATACTTAAAGGGGGCCTACAGGAAGGATGGGGAGAATCTTTTTAGCAAGGTCTGTTGTGACAGGACAACAAATAATGGATTTAAACTAAAGAAGAATAGATTTAGACTGGATATAAGGAAGAAATTTTTTACCATGAGGGTGGTGAAGCGCTGGAGCAGGTTGCCCAGAGAGGTAGTGGAAGCCCCATCCCTGGTGACATTCAAGGTCAGGTTGGACAGGGCTCTGAGCAACCTGATCTAGTTAAAGCTGACCCTGCTCCCTGCTGGGGGGTTGGGCTGGAGGACCTCTAAAGGTCCCTTCCAACCCAAAGCATTCTATGATTCTATGAAAACTTAAGTTTTGACCCTTAATCCAGAGATGTCCATGGCTAAGGATATGTTGAAAGGAGGTCATGCAGTTTGTCTCATGAACCTCCTCTGGCAGAGAGAAATTTTGGATAGGCACAGCTTTGCCAGGGACAACTTATGGCGAAAAAAGAAAAGATGATGACCAGGGGCCTTCTAGGAAGGAGATGTCACAAGCATGAGTGGCTGCTGTGATGGGAAAGCAGCAATATGGGTTACAGGCAATGCTTCCAGAAGACATCCTGTAGGCTGAAGCTATTGCATGACAAAGAACAGGTGGGAAGACAAGACCACCAGGATTTTGTTCTAGGGGACTTCATTCATCCTGGAACAGCAATCCCTCACTGTAGGGTGAACTACATCTCGCCTCCTCCCAGTAAACAGGTAGGCAGAAACACAATAAGCATCTCTTCATCTCCCAAATCCTAAAACCTCCTGCAAAGTATCAAATCTAGGTTTCTACAGCTTTTCTTTAAGAGAATAACAACATATAATCAAGGACATCTGATTACAAGTACATGTTGAATTAAAATGCTAAATCAAAATGAAAACATTTGCTACATTACTGTAGCTTAAGATTTATGCAACAAGTGCCTTATTACTCACATTTGCAGAAGAGAGGCACTTCATTTAAAAATGAGAGCCTGTCAGACCTGACTTCTTTCCTGGTGACAAGAAATGGATATGATTTTTTGGAAGAGCCATTAAGGTTTCAGTCTTGGTTGAAATAGGTATGTTATCTGTAATAGGAAATATATTCTAATTTGGTGACTACAATTAAGCTGCATTACTATCATAAATAATAACCAGTCCTCCAAAATAACACATTTTCCAGCTTATATAAATAATGTGTAGCTGACAAGGAACACTGGAATTGAAATTTCTCTACTAACACTATCAGGACAGCCATAGCATAGCAAAGTGTATGTTGGGAAGCTCTTTACCCTTTATGAATTCAAAATTCTCAGACAGCTCTTCCTCCAGGTTACTGCCTACAGATAGAGGCTTAAGGCTACTTAGCCAAGATCGCAACAAAGTGAGGGTTACAAATTACACTGCTGCTTATTTAAATGTCTAGCTTACTTTTATTAGCAAGGGAAGTTGTTGATAATTAGCCAATTTCCAGAAGAAATTCCTAGCAACTATTCAAATTCAGACACCATCACAACCCCATTATAAGCAATTATTTGCCGTAGCCTGGTTCTAGTTGCAAACTTACCACTGAGGTGATAAGCTGCAGAGACGCAAACTCATTGAATGGTTCATCTCTTGCCAGTAGCTGTCCCTGGGTGGTTACTTCCAGCAGGAGGATTGCTGAAGCCAAGCTGCTTCTGCAGTGGTTTCTCACATTGCACCCACTAAGAGTTGTGAAAGGGTGCTTGTGGGATTTTTAAAGCAGTGTCTGGAGCCATGCAGCTGCTAGGTATGATGGCCATGGAAACTGCCTTACCTATTGCCCAAAGGGAGGTAAGGCTATGTAAGTAAGTGCTTCACAGGTGCTTATAAATTGTTTAAAATTAGGGCCTAATTAGATAGCAAAGTTCTGTTAGAGAAGGGTTTGCTGGATTATTGTTGTGTTTTGTTTTGTTTTTTAAATAATTTCTATAAAGACTGTAGAATATAAGTGTTGAAATAGTCCCCATGCCACTGATGATAGTCAGGGAGTCCATGTTCACCAGAAGAAAATCTCTGTTATACTGTGAGACATCTACACCTTTAGGTAATAACCTGCAATTAATTGGAAAGGTGAATTACCAAGGAAATATTAAAACCTAAATTAGTGGTAACTTAAAGCTGTTGGTATGATGTGGGATACTCTTTGAGGCAGGTGGGGTTTTTTTTGTTTGTTGGTTGTCATGGGTTTTTTTTGTTTCTTTTCTTGTTTTCCCTAAAGAGCTATAGTAATGTGGTGCTATGAAGTGTATGAGTGTCCACTGGTGTAACATAGGACTGAATAAGCAGCTGTGGATCACAATGACACATGTCTTATCTCAATCCTATTACTGTGTGGGCAACTTCTTTCCTTGTTTGTTTGTGCCTCTCCTTCAACTTCATGCCTCTCAGCTATGTAGACTACAGTATTTTTTTTTTTCTCCAATGCAACTTTAAATTTGTATGCGAAAGGAAGATGCACTTGAATATGTGCCTAAAAATCGACTTAGAACTTAAAAGCAGGTGTTGGTGTTTCCCTA